TTAAAACAATCTATCTTAATTTTAATGTTTACAAATCAATATCCAATAGACACTAAAAGTAGTGGAAGAATATGAAAAAATATGAGGCTATAAGCTAATCAACAGAAGTAATTGGTTTTATTTTATTTTATTTTATTTTATTTTACTGAGCTTACCTTTTTCCTAAAAATATTTTAATGAATTTAATTGGACTAAGATAATCTAGTTTGCTATATGTTTCTTAGTTTATAATTTAATTTAAAAAAGGATCAATAATGTGGGTGGGTTAGGATTAACACAAAATATTTTAATTAAAAACTAAACTAATTTTCAAAATTATATGGGGTCAGATATCTTCCTCCTAACATCCTGCCAAGTAGATAAATAACATATCTAAACGTTTCTTGCCTCGTTTCACAGGATTTTAAAATTATTGTCCTCAGGTGATGACGCCACTTCTCAGATTGTCATTTCTGTTTTGGTTAAGAGTAAATACTTTCATTTCCATTTGTCTTTGTTAAAAGTTTTTCTTTTCTAATCCAAAAAATATATATTATTACAAAACACATCTTGTTTGCTCAGACATAACGAGGGAACAAGGTCACGAGAAAGTGACATGAAACTCTTCAGCAAAAGAAAGAAATCATTCACTCAACTTGCATACATCCATGAACTTCTGGACTGCGTTATGATACTGAGTTCCCTGCAACCATACAACCAACATTAAGCATCTCCTTAACAGTTTATGTTAGTTAAACTTCTGATTTGTTTTATAAATATTAATGGGCAACCTATAAATGACTCATCTATAAATGGATGCAGACTATGTTGACATGGTATATAGACAAAAGAGGGTAAAAGATTGGAGCAAGTGAGTGTACCTCCCAGTAGAGCTGATGGCAGTTCATACACTGCCAAAACTCCAAATTTTTGTTGAATAAGCAGTTTGGTATTCTTTGGAAACCCTTTGCTGCTTCAATAGCTTCTTCAAGGGTCAGTGGTTTCTGAATAAATCTCCCATTGCATTTTGTGCATCTTGACATCAATTGATTCTCGCTGATCTTTAGCTGGAAAGTCTCTATCACCTATACAGCTTAATTGTTTCAGTGGTAACTCAGAAAAAAAAATCCACAACTATTCCACTGAACATAATAAAACTGGTTCTACAATGAATGCATGAGGCTCTATTTTCTAAGTATGAGTCCAAGCATCCCCATGAAAACAACTATCAAGTCAGTTTAATACTCTAGAAGCCAAAGTTTGAATCACTTAGATGTCTTAACTTAAGACTCTTAAGAGAGATCCAAAACTTGCAGGTTCGGTCTCCTCTTTTAATAAAACCAGTCACCCAAATCATGCCACATCACAGATCTTTGCATAACACAGCTCACATACTAGTGATTTGGTTTTATTGTATTGTACCTCAAGAAGCTGCTCATTTTTCAGAAGGCTCTTGACTCTATATATTTGATGCTTAGCCAAATCTTGGTGTCTCAACAATTTTGTTTCTCTTGTCAATAGAACTCTCTTCTCTTTCAATGCTTGATCAAGCAACTCCCTAGAAGTTGTGTCAATAAATCAACATCTAAATTAGAGAAATATTGTAATCAACTCAATGCCATCAAAATTTTATAATGATAGCTTAGAGTAAAGTACCTTGAATCTGGCTTCTTTGAGGGTGGAACTGCAGCATCAATCCCAACACAACGTAGATGTTTCGCCAAACCTTCAACCTAGAGAGTTGTTCTATAAGCATGGAGAAATATATTTAAACACACGCTTGGCAGAGATTTATATCCAATTACCATCACATCCAAGAGAAACTTAGGGCAGCCATCACCGCCTAAAGATGAATCCCATGGCGGTGGACCTTGCCAGTCCACAGAACAAACCAAATCCTTATCTGTGTTCACATTCTTCAAGGAGGCACCACGTTTTCTTGTTTTTCTCTTGGAGATCCTTGGTAGAAGATCAGACTCCTTCAACAAGATCTTTTCTCCATACTTTCTTACAATCTTCAACAGATTCTCATCCATTGGCATTGTGTTTAACGTTGTTTTTCTAGAAACCATTCCATTTGCAATGTTTTGACCATTTTCAGTCATTGTCCTGATTACATCTGCAGCCTTGCATAGTTTGGCCGTCACAATCTTACTGGTACAATCCTCTGATCCATTAAGAATGTCTTTTAAGCCGACGTTTGTATGTTTAGGATCTTGCAGTGTGATTTCTTCAACGAGATTTGACTTGAATACATCGAATATTTGGAGCAAGCAGTGAGCATCTGTTGCAGCGTATAGTTTCTGTTCTTCTGTGAGAGGACGGTGTGACCAGTCACTGCATTGAAGCTCCTAAAGAACAAAACCCGTTAAAAAAGCCTTACGAACACCCATTAAAGCCTAAATCGTCACTAGAAAAATGTGTCTAAATGTCAACAGAACAGAGGAAATGTTTCATGGTGCTATGATCAACAAGCTAAACAAAAAAATATCTAAACAGCACAGAGCACAATGTAGTAAGGGAGATGAACCATCTGTCTTGCTTACTTATTAACTTATTCAGCTACATTAAAGCAGGGAAATGTAATAACATAACTCCAGAAAAAACAAAGCTACTCTCTTGAATTGTAGATGATTCAATGTCACCAAAAAATAGGAAAGTTCTTTAAGGGATCAATGACAAACCTTTGACAAAGAAGTATCTAACAGTTCCTTGCAAATAGCTGCCAAGCTTTTGATATCCTTTGGCGCTTTTCTCCCAAAACGCTTGTGTTGGAGATGATTGTATATGCTTGTGATATCTATGTAATGTTTCACCTATTCACATCAAAAAGGGGAAATTAGAAAACACAAGTAAACAATCCAATTTCAAAAATAAAATCTAAAAGGCAAGCATGTAAAAACAAATAAAAGATTCTACTCTCTTAAGTTTTTATCAAACTATAAACACCAGACATGATCCAAACAAAAGAAACTCAATTCCAAGACGAATCAACAAAGCTAAAATGTAGAATCTTGGGAGGCGATTCAATTAACACATATCTTGAATGTGATCCAAACCAAACACTCAAAAACAATTTCGAACAAGGAAACCAAACATGTTATACTAAAGACTTTGCACAATTTAAATGAAAGTTCAAAACTTTCAATGCATTAGTGTATTCTTAGCTCTTCAGAAACATGAAACAGGGGAAGAGAACACAAAATGCACAAGCTTTAACCTCACTAAGCACCACTAATGAAACAACCAATAGAAATAAAAGTCTTGAATGCAATCAAAACTACTAATAAGATTTTCAATAAACATTCAAAACAATTGCAAAATGGGAAACCAAACACCATATACTAAAAACTTGCGTGCATATCTGGAACTTACTATAAGTGGTTATCTTACTATAAGCAGTAAGCAAAAGAAACTTAAACCAAGATGAAAAACAAAGCTAAAGGTAGAATCTTTACCAGCAATTCAATTACACCTATCTTGAATGCAATCAAAACAACTAAGAAGAGTTCTAACAAACATTCAAAACAATTGCAAACTGCGAAACCAAACACTATATACTAAAAATTTGCATCCAAAGCACTACCCATGATCTAAACAAAAAAACTCAAGTCCAAGATGAATCCACAGAGCTAAATGTTAAACCTTTGGGAAGCAATTGGACTACACCTATCTTAAATGCAACCAAAACTCTAAACTAAGATTGAAAGTTCAAATCTTTCAATGCCTTAGTGCCCTTTCACCTCTCCAGAAACACAAAACAGGGGAAGAGAACAAGAAAGACACAACCTTTAACCTCATGGAACTAACTAAGAAGAGTTCCAACTTTCAACCAAAGATCAAAAGTTCAAAACTTTCAACCCCAAAATGCATTTTCACCTCAACAAAAACACAAAAAAAAAAAAACAGAGAAACAGAACAAAGAAAGAAACAAGCTTTAAACCTCGTTAAACCTCCCTTCACACCCATGTTGAGTAAACGTCGAAGACAAGTAAACCAAGTCCTGCTTAAACCGAAACCCAAGCTTCAACACATCAGGAGACACCAACATATCATTCAAAACCTCCCACACGGACGCAAGATCAATCGAAGTCAAGTCAATGAGGAAGACATCATCATCATCCGAGTCATCGTGACCGAGTCGACACGCGACTTGGAGGAGAGTGACAATCGGAAACGACGACGTATTAGAGCGTTGCGGCTTCCACTCCGCGTCCAAGGCGATCACCGTGGAGCGAGCGAAGGAGCATTTTAGGCGAGTGAACTCGGACGAGTCGGTGGATGAAACAAGATAGATCTTCATTAATGTGAGGAGACATTGGAGTAAAGTCTCTCCGGTTGGGTTTTAATGTCTTTTAGGTTTTGTCGGTTTTGGTTTCGGTTAGATAAAATCGATATCAACCGGATTTTAATCACAAACCGCGCCAAATTAAACCCGGTTAGATCAAATCAGTATCAACCATGATCTAATTGAAAACCGTAATGGAGGCACCAAATTAAATCCGGTTAGATAAAACCAATAAAGCCGGTATTGAAACCGGAATAAAAAGCCAAATTAAATCCTGTTATATAAAACCAATAAAAACCGGGATGTAATCAAAACCATTAAACCCGGTTAGATCCAACCAATATCAACCAGGATCTAATTGAAAACCATAGCAGAGGCGCCAAATTAACTCCGGTTAGATAAAACCAATATAAACCAGGATCGAAAACTGGAATAAAAAATCCGAATTAAACCGGTTATATAAAACCAATATAAACCGGAATTTAATAAAAATGTTACACTGGCACCAAATTAAACCCGGTTAAATAAAACTAATATAAACCAGGTCGTAATAGAAAACTGTAATAGTAGCACAAAATTAAACCTGATTAGATCAAACCAATATAAACCGGAAGGTAATCGAAGACGTAACAGCGGCGCCAAATTAAACCCGGTTATTGATTTTCCCCCCGCGAAAATTCGTTGAAAACAGAGCGCGAACTCTTCAACATCTTTCACTCTCGCTCTCTTGATAATGGTGGTGTCGCGGCGGAGAAGAACTCAGGTGAAAAAACCTATAACCATGGCGGATGATTCTGATTCGGAATTGGATACGGTATGCGAAGAATGCAGCTCAGGGAAACAACCTGCGAAGCTGCTTCTTTGCGACAAATGTGATAAAGGGTTTCATCTTTTCTGTCTCAGACCGATTCTCGTTTCAGTTCCCAAAGGGTCTTGGTTCTGTCCTTCGTGTTCTAAACAACAGAAACCTAAAGGTAGGTTTTTTTTTAATCAGTTATGCTTGAGCTGTAGATTTGATTTGATACTTAAAATCAAAACTTTTTATTGCAGCTTTCCCTCTTGTTCAGACCAAACTCATAGACTTCTTTCGGATTAAACGGTCCTCTTCAGATTACATCCCATGTTCTCCAGGTAAAAGTTTACATCTCTGTAGTTTTTTTAGATTCTGTGCCAGAAGAAAAAGTATTTAACATTATTTTTAAGAATGTAATAAAATAAATTCGGTAGCTTTGTATTTTTTTTTAATTCAGATTGGAAGTTAAGATTCCGACAGATTTGTGTGTGTTGTGTTCGGTAATATTTATTAAAAGAGTTTTTTTTTTTTGTTGTAGATGATATTGGGAAGAAAAGGAAAAGGACAAGTTTGGTGATGTCAAAGAAGAAGAGGAAGCTTCTTCCATACAACCCTACCGTTGATTCTCAAAGGAGGTTAGAGCAAATGGCGTCTTTAGCCACTGCGTTGAGAGCATCCAACACTGAGTTCAGTAACAAGCTTACTTATGGATATAGCAAGGCTCTAAGATCTGCAAACAAAGCTGTCCTTGAGAAAGGAGGCATGCAGGTATGGATATTACTCTTGTTCTTCAATCGCATATTCATAGGTTTTAGTATCAACTGAAGAAGATGTTTGTGTTATTCAATGCAATGTTCAAGAAATCGCTAAGCGGTGGTTATGTGTTTAAGAAAAGATTCTTGAATAACTAGACTGATTTTTTTAAAAAAAAAATTGTATAGTTTAGGCCCAATTTATAGCAGTTTAGACTGATTTTTAGAACATTGATTTAATGTTACACAGGTTCTGTCTAAACAAGATGCAGAGACCTTAGCATCGTGCAAGAACATGATGGATCGTGGTGAATGCCCGCCGCTTATGGTGGTCTATGATCCTTATGAAGGGTACTTTAACGTTTATATAAGCTTCTGCTTATACCATTTTAACAATCTGGAATGATTATTGAATTAGATTGGTTTTGAACCTGTAACAGGTTCACAGTAGAGGCTGATAGGTGTATTAAAGACTTAACTATAATCACAGAGTATGTTGGTGATGTTGATTATCTGAGAAACAGAGAAGATAACTATGATGGAGACAGCATGATGACTCTACTCCATGCCTCTGATCCTTCACAATGCCTTGTTATTTGCCCTGACAAACGCAGTAACATCGCACGCTTCATCAGTGGCATCAACAATCACACACCGTGAGTTTCTCTGAACCGTTCATGATGATCCAGGAACACTAAACATTCTAGTACTTGTTTGTCCTCATTTGTTCTTTTTTTTTTTGGTTGGCGTTTTGTGAAATGTGTGCAGAGAAGGGAGGAAGAAGCAGAACCTGAAGTGTGTGAGGTTCAACATCAACGGAGAAGCTATGGTTCTTCTCGTAGCTAATAGAAATATATCTAAAGGGGAGCGTTTGTATTATGACTACAACGGCTATGAACATGAATATCCAACAGAGCATTTTGTATAACCCTAAAATTATAGGTGCAAACTTGTTTAGCAAGAAACCAAAATGGTATCTGGTGTTGTTGTCTACCCATGAATCAAGCCTTACTTCAAGTTGTATACCACAACAGAGCTGTTCAATTATCTTTATATACTTAATTTAAATTATTTAAGAATAATTATTTTGTTTAAATCCTCCTATATATTAATTGAGAAATATTTTAAGTGATTTATGTTGACATGTCACTAGAGTTTTCCAGTTAAATGTTATAATTTGATTGGTTGATGTTTTTTATCATTTAAACTATTTAATTAAAGTTTTAAAAAGAAAATTAACATTATAATTACCTAATATAATCTATGATTCAAACAAACAATTAAACATTTTAAATATATATTAAGTAGCATAATTTTTTTCTAGAAATAATTAAATATCATAGATTGGAGAAAACTAATTAATTTAAACCTAATAATATTAATTTACTCACTCACCACACATATATTCTAAAATGTGTCAATGAATGCAAAAACTCAAATACGTATATAGTTTAAAAACGGACAATCATTTTTCAAATATAATATGATATTATAGCTGAGTTATCACTTTTAGAAGTGATTAAAGTATTTTTTAGATTTAACAACATAAAATTGTATGGTAAGTTATTTGAAATTATATTAATAAAAACAAAATTATCATAACATAAAATTAAAATCAGAACCTTATATTAATACGAGCAGCCCAAAGTTAATACTCTGTTAATGTAATTCGTATAGCTTTGATTATAATAAAATTGACATGCTTATGTTCTATTAGAAAAAACAGGAGAAGTAAATTAAAAACAGAAAAAGAATAATAAAATATGTTTGTTGTGTTCTTTATTATTTAATATTCTTATGTACTAAAGTTTTATTTGTTTGTCGCGATATTACTATTAATGTGAACTAATTAGTCTTATGTGTTTTTTAAACATCAAGATAAATTTAAAGATATCAATGGAAGTGATTAGTTCTGAATTGATAAGGTCGAAGATATGGAAAATTTAACGTAAACTGAAATTAAGAAAAAATATTTTTAAAATAATAATATGTATTTTATAAACTTTTATAGCTGACGATAATAAAGTTTTAACAAATTTATACAAATAAAAACATTTTATTTTGATTTAATATTGAATCTCACATCAGTATTAAGAATGTATATCTTTTTTTTTTTTTTTGACATCAATAAACAAACATTCATGTTGGTTCTGTGAACCACCCCGGCAGCTCTTCATCCATGTGAACGACAAAGGACGGTTGCTTCCTAGAACTACGTGCTAAGCTGTCTGCCTTCATGTTACGCGTTCGAGGAATATGGATGATTTCTGAGCTTAGAAACCTTTGTTTCAGGATCATTAATTATATCTTCCAAATAGGTTGCGAAAGCGGGCCATTCTCCTGGTTCTGAAACCATCTTCACCAATTGAGAATAATCCGTCGCAAATGTGACCCTAGTCTGCCTTAAATTCTTCATGCACTCCGTCGCCCAGATTAAAGCCTCTATTTCTGAATGGAGAGGGGAAAGACTCGCTCGCACATTTCGTGCCCCCATCAACCCATTGAAACCCTCTAAGGTACTATACCAGCCCTGCCCTGAGAAGACTTCCTTGTCCTTCCATGATCCATCAGTAAAGCACCACCTCCCCGGTATTGACGGTATGGTGGACGTCACATTTCGTTGGACCCCCTCTTGTGGATTCATCAATTGCGCTTCAGCCCAAAGTGTGGATTCTGTTTCCGCTATTTTGAGTGTTTCCCGGGGATCTACATTTAGATTACTGAAGACCTTAATAAAATAAGTATGTATTAAAGTAATTTAAAATAAATAAAATAGTAATTTTAAATATCTCTAAGAAATAAAATTATAAACAATATACAATTTTTATTGGAAAAATATTTAAAATTAAAAGGCTATTTTAATATTTTTGATTCTTATTCGGAATAATAAAATTATAAAAAATATATACAATTTCATATAATATTTATAGCGCGAAACCGCAGGCAGCCACCTAGTTAATCACTATTTTCATTGTTTTAAAAGTTGGTTTATGTTGTGCTAGTCATAAGCGGGTGTGTACAAATCGGTTAAAAAGAAAGGATTTTCTCAAAATTATTCTTTTTAAAAAACTTATTTATTTTGAACATTTGATTATTTCAACATTGATATTTCTAAACTAAATATAGAAAATGATTTTCACTTATATAATTAACCTCTAATTAATTTTATTGAAAAAGAGAGCATGGATATTTTTACAAGTAAAAAATGTTTCCCGCAACAAACCATGAACGCTCCTAGTTCCGGTGGCTGGTCAGAGCTCCCAGTGGACATCTTGAGATATGTGTTGGAACTTTTGAGTTTTTTCGATTTCCACCGCGCTAAGATGGTGTGTTTGAACTGGTACTTGTGTTCCAAGCAAACATTAAGGCCAAAATTCAGATATCCGTTAGTGATGCTGTGTCCAGAAGAGGGTGGCTGTCGTCTGTACAACCCTGAGGAAGATAGGGTTTACAAGAGTGATCTCTCAGGATATCAATTACTGGGAAACTCAGGTAAGTGGTTTCTAGTGGTTGATTCTAAATCAGATCTCTATATTGTAGACGTGTTTAGCAGCGATGATAGGATCCTTCTTCCACGTCTAGAGACTCTCAAAGGTGGTACTCATGAGATTCAACGAGTAGGTGAAAACGATTTCAAAGAGAATTTAATTAGGCGAGGTACTGCTTTTGCTTGGGGCCATCACACTAGCAAAGACCTTAGAGGTCTTGTGTGGGTGGACGACAAGAATGAAGACTATGTTGTGGTATGGAGAGTTTCCACCTGCCAGTACTTGGGGTTTTGTAAGAAAGGTGATGCTCATTACGGTGAGATTACATTAGGGACCGATGTTGTTCGTAGGGAGTTAAGAGGCGGAGATGATATAGTTCTCAAAGGTTACAATCTTTACTTACTCTCGTCGCGTCGATACATCCGACACCTTGATTTGTCTGGACAAGATGGTGGTATCAAGGATGCGTCAGTGTATCATAAGTTTCCTATGTCGATTCCAATAGCTGATGAGAGAGTAATGAATGCATACAAGCCCATCTCAGTTGGCAATAACATTGTTGTTCCAACATCAGGAGAGCCCTTGTTTCTCTATACCAGAGTTGACGAACCAACCTCTGGACGGCCTAGGTTCTTCCGCCTGTACAAGAGGGATGCTAAAGATCTAGACCCGGGGACCATTGATACATGGCTTGTTGAGGTGGACTCTTTAGGTGATGAGGCTTTGTTTTTTGATTTGGGTATCACCGTGCCTGCTGATCACACCCTTGGTATTGAGCCAAACTCCATCTACTTCACCCGTAATGACCGCCGCCGTTTCAGTCACACGAAACGTTTAACTCCATGCATCGACGTGTGTGTGTACAATCTTGCAACAAAGAACATCAAACGCTTTGCCAGTCTCTCCAACTTAAAAATCAATGATGCCATGTGGTTTCTCCCCTCTTGATTTGTTTAATTTGATTCCTGTGTTTAATCTTGTAACAAAGAACTTCAAACGCTATCTTTTCCCCATGATGTCTCACTCCTTTCTTTGTTTATTCTTAATGTTGTTCAGACATAATATCTTTAAGACTGATGTTGGTATCTCAAACCATTTAACTTAATGAAATTAAGTGGTGTTACAAAAAGAAGTTATGTTCATGTTAGTTCCTACGTCGAATAATCAGGCTATTTGCAGTCTAACATTGATGATCAGATCAGAAAATATTTATCTTTCAATCTGTAAACGTTCTCATTAAATTATGTTTCTTTTATAGTACTGCAACGAACGAATTTAATTAAGTTAAAAGATAATATTAACAAATTTAACACCAAATTTGATTCTCAGTTCCTCAAACAATCTTTTTGGTAGTGGTTTCGTGAAAATGTCTGCAAGCTATAGCTTCGCCAAGATATGTTTCGTCTCAATGTGTCCTAGTGCAACCTGTTCTCGTATATAATGCCAGTTATTCTCAAAATATTTGGACCTTTTATGCAAACCCGGATTAGCAATGAGATAAAACCGCTGACAGGTTGTCACACTAGAGCAGTGTTGGGTTGCACCCCTAGATCACAGAGGATAAGGACAGCCAAAGTTTAAAAGCCATGTTAACCAGACTCTTAACAAACAGCTCCATGGAAGGAAGAATCATCATTGGTTCCACTTAAATTTTGGCTGAAAAGATAAGAGGATACTTAGAACATCCGCAACAAAGATCCTTAGTACTTTGGGCTTAATAGTACGAGTTTGTTGTATTACAATGATTTGATCTTCTGTCTAATGAAATAAAAGTTGTAACATTTTACTTTCAACGCTGTGGAAAGGCTATAATCTTGTTAAAATAGAACCTCAAAATGATTCAGATGGCTGTTCCATATATATTCGTTTTCGCTTGGGATTCAATATGGTGTGTTATATGACATCTAGCCTGGAAATTTAAGATTATTTCCAAAAAAATTATGAAATAAAACGCTATTCTTAGTCCTCAATACAAGAAAAAAAAAACTGGAAACTAAGTCTTAAAACGACAACGATGAGTAAGTAAGCTTTGTTTAATTTCTTGCCTGCTCTATTCCTCCTGCAGCTCATATATCTGCATGTATGCTTCCGATAGTTCTACCATCTGTGGAAGCGTCTCTACAACATGCAGATCCTGCATCTGGTACCATACTCGTTCTTGCAACTTGGGCTGCACAAAAACTCTGAAAGACCCATCATCTGGCTTCCCATCATGTACTATGTTGGCTATTAAGTTATACTTTGTACAAGCCTCCTTCTCCCCTGGCAATGATGGTATGTAATCCCTCAGCTCCATGTCTTTCACTGGGAAGTTAACCAAGGTAGGGTTCTTCTCTTTGAAGAAGTTGTTCTTCTTGAACCGAACCATATGGAACATCAAGTAAGGTGGAGTTTTGGTTACTCTATATCTCACTCTGGCTAGCCTTGGGCCAACCACCTCCGTCGTCGCAGTTTCTCCATCAAACTTCTTCAATAGATCGAAAAGAGCAACCTGCGGAATTAAGCTTTTCTCCATGACATCTTTGAATAGAGGAGGCGGTGGCAGATCTAGTCCAAGCATCATAAAAGGCATTCTGGAGATTTCTAATTTGTTTTCATTACCTTGATACTCTCTCACAACTTCTAACTCACCCTGAAAGCACTGGTGGATGATACTGCTGCTGCTGGAGTCCTTTGAAGTTCGGATTAAATCCATGTGCAAAGTGTCGAGGAGCCACGACATAAACTCTACTGGATCTGATTGCTGGCCTATCTTAAAAGTGCTAGCATCCATGACAGCTTGCAAGAACTCATGTGGACTCACATGTCCTTTGAAGTTTCGAGCATGCCAAACCTTTCGAGTGAGTTCCCCAAAGCGATGAACAAGAGGTGTCTTGCAATGCTGATAGTTGTCGGGAATAAGGAAAAAGTTGCGTAGAGGAGTAACTCTCATCAACGATTGGATTGTAACGTTCACAAAATCTGTGTTTTGTATGTTGTTCAACCCAACCATTCCCGGAAGATAGTAAGAGCCATCAAGAGCCCTAGACCACTGCTGCTCTTCTACTACTTGTGCTGATCCTCTACTAAACCTTGGGTTTAAAACATGACGAATGTCATCCAAACAAGGGTCATTGATTTCATATCTATCAGGAAGACAATACACCTTCTCCGTGAGAAGATTGATGTAAACGTGGTGCCCTGCTTCCAAGCTATGTTTATAAGCAGGAGAGTTTTGGCTTCTTCCTTGGAAATACTTCCCGCATACGAGACACGCGTACACATTCAACTTCGACAAGCACACTGTTGGGCCCGAATTTAGCCCGTTAGCTGAATTAATGGGCCGAATAGTAGAAACCGTTTGCGAAGCATTACGAGCCCATTAAGAAGCCTCCCCTTAAATAAGAACCACATGAAACCGTAACCTATCGGTGAAAACAGGTCACGAACAAAAGACTCGGGACCTCATTTTCAAAACAGTTAGCAAGAAACAGCTCTGGA